TCCCTAGTTGGACTTCTAGGGCTTTATTGTGTATGTTATAGGCATATGACTGTATCCATATACCTAACTTAAATACCTGTATATCTATAATTACATGTTCCTACAGTGGGAAGCCCCGCCAGCTGAGGCGGGCGCGCGCTAGCGTTTACAATTACGTATGGTACGCTCCTCTAAACTAACATGGAACCTTCGAAGGAAGCCACACAAAGACTGTAGTCCTCTTGCAGCTGGCCTGTGTGGGGTTCTATGTTTGTTCGGGGGGAATATTTAAACTCAGAGGGGTAATATGGGCCACCCACAAATGGCCTCCACTGTTGGGCTCAAGCTCCTCAAGCCCATTGAGGCCTGTTGCAAATTGGGCGGCCTCCCTTTGACGGAACCCCTGATGCACGGATATACGGGCCTGAATGGTTCAAAGAGGGTTTTGAGGCAGGGTTGAGTTACAGCTCACCACACGTTCTGACGTGAACAATTTTTGGGATGACCCTAAACCCTCAACCCCTAGCCTAGACCCTAAACCCCTAAACCCTAAACCGCCCTAAACCCCTAAATTCAACATTTATTCAACCCCTACACCCGACTTGCACAATAAAACTTTTAAGGTTCATAGGGGTAAGTTTCCGGGCTTTGCAAGCGTATAGTCATGTGGGGTTATATGAGTTGAACAAGGTTAATTACATTGGGCTGGAGGGTTTGGGGACGTTGCTCCATTAACGGAGAATCACACGAAAAAGAGCACGGAACTTGAAATGAAACAAGAAAATGAAACATGAAATGGACAACGCGATGACAGAATGATTCATAGGGTGTAGCGCTAGATAGGAAAACACAAGATATAACCAGGCAACGTCTCATGGTCTCTTGCCAGGTCCCTCATAAACGAGCCACTTATCTCAACCCCCAAACCTTCTGTCAATCTTACAGATCCGCTATACCCCCTTCAAAAGGGGCCCATTATTGTACGCCCATAAGCCCTATAAACCCTAAACCCCCCATAACCCCGGCGGCAGCGGAGCCTTGTTTGCACTCGCCAGCACAATAACTGTCATCCACGAGGTACGTGTTGTTGGTACACTCGAGACCTTGGTTTTACTCGTTTGAAGGCTCCAAGATATCTACGTGGCACTCAGGACCCCTACCAAGGGTCAACCCCGAGGTACCTATGATAGGAGTATAAGGGCATCCCGAATATTTAAGGGTCTAAGGTCCAAGCTGAGTCCCAAAAAGGTCTCCAACATTTGTTTATAAGGATATACAGTACCGGGATGAACTGGGGGTTCTAAAGTTTAGGTCGTGGCTGCGCCTGTCACTCCGTAAGAATTAGTACAGGTTAGCCCTTGATTACCTGTAGGTAAATGGAGCCACAACTAGACTCAGAGATGCACTGAATACCCCCCTATTCAGCCCTCTAGAAACAAATTGAAAGCCTTAAATGATCCTACATTAAGCTGTAGAACTCTAAAAACCCTAGCTTCTATTCCATTTCCATTTGATGTTCCAGTTGATTCCCAATTTTGGGGTAGTATCCCCAAACCCTGAGGCCTAAAAGCCTAATTCCTAAACACTACAGTCCATGGTTCCTCCATGTAGAGAGCGGCTTGTAGGGACTTCCCGGATATACGGTGGATTATGAAAAGTCCTGCATGACCCCAAGTACCTTATACCTTGGAAATAATGGCACTGTAGTATACTAAGGCCACGCAGTATCTTTATTATCAAGAGTATGGCGACCACAAAGGGCTTTTGGGCTTAGGGTCTAGGGCTTAGGTTGGGTACTGCCCCCCCCCTCAGTAACAGTTGGATAATAATTATGATAGGGTTATATATAGCCCTTAATATGACCCCTAATATCGACTGTTACTGTGGGGGGGGGGGGGCAGTACACAAGGCTTAGGGCTTCGGTTTTAGGGCTTTAGATGTTGTAAGGTTTTGGGTGAAAGCCCTCAGGGAATGCAGTATGTTCCAGCAGCAAACATCACGACAGTTGCTGTAGGGGCTTGGGGGTTTGCCTAAAGTAGGAACCTTAGGTTGGGTAGTTCCCGGCTTACAGCAACAGCTACCACTGTGGGTAATAGGAGTCATGATAGCCCCTTTACTCTAAACCCTGAGCCGGACAGACACCGTAAAGGAGAATGACCAAAACCGTAGGTCCTAAACAGGCAACGATACCAACGCATTAGTTACAACGGTACCTAGGTGACTCCGGGAGGATTGCTTCAAGAAATGTAGGTCCTCAATATGCACCCTAAAACCTACATCCTAAGCCCCCTGTAAACCCGCAGTTTTACTGCAGGGACTCCCAAAATGGTACCCCTAAACCCTATAATAAATCCCTATATAACCCCGCGATAACCCCACTTAAAATTTAAAGGTACCCCTAATTTATAGTCTTCTTGTAGGGAATCTCAAGAGGTATCCCTCATTTTGAAAGTCTCCAGGTAGGGTCTTTGTCTGTGTGCTACCATGCCAAGCCTTTAAGCTATAAACCCTAAGCCCGAAGTTCTACCTGAACCCCAAAATCGTGCGTTCAGGATTTAACGTTTAGGGTTAAGCATATAGAATACTGCCCTTCTGTGCTATGTTTAAAGGGTTTTGGGCTATTATTTCACCTACTTTTGGGGTCCAGGTAAGCCCCAAACCGCGTCAGTACATGTCTGCATTGGCATAATACCGTATTCCTAGGGCTTGGAAGGCAACTGTAGCTCTAGGAGCCTTGCGGAAAGGCTTTCAACTGTTTAGGTTTTTTGGGGATTTAGGGTTTAAGGCTTGGGTTTAGGGTTTAGGGTTTTGGGGATTTAGGGGTTTCGGGCTTAGGCTGGTTTGGGGCGACACGGCAACATGGCAGAAGCTCTTGAAAGGCACCTGCACCCCGCGTATGTGTAATGGTAGCCTCTTTGCCTGTTGTCGTGGGTTGTCCTATATGAATACTATTTTGCCCCAGACCCTACATAAACCCTATTCGAGACCCTAAGCCCTAAACCCGCCAGATGAGAGGAATGTCACAATTGCTTTGGGATCCAACTGGCCGTCATTCAAAAAAAGCCACAGGCAAAGGTGTCCCAATGAACTTTAAGTAGTTGTCGCATGCCCACCCCCAAACTGCCCTTCAGGGGGGTCCACATAAGCCCTGTTTTTGGGTAAACCCTAAAGCCTAAACTACCTGGGGGGGCTCTAGGGAAGTCATGAAGTTTAGGAGTTGGGGCTACTAACTTTCGAGTGAAAGTGTTTGGCTTCCGTCTCGAGCCCTGCATGAGCGACTTCAAGGACTCATTAAGGAATACGACTTGGGTTGTATAGGTATATTTTACATATACATCTATATGAGACTATACTTAGAGTTCAGGGTGTAGGGATGTTACCCTTCAATACGAGAATCAACTGGCAAACATGTTGTAACTTCTCTGCTCTAAACCACACTGTGAATGGGTTATCTAATCACCTCCCTCTATACTACTCCGCCCCAATGGGAGCTCAGGATTTGGGGCTTAGGGTTTATGGCCCTTTATGGCCTAGAGTTTGAGATTTCGGTGTTGCCCTCAACACTCTCCGCCCTTGGGCACCAGGCATGTCTCTAGGGTGTCGCACAGCGCGCAGTCTTTGGAGCACTTGTGACACGTGTTTCCTGGGTTTCATGCAGGCTTCTTTACACAGAGGGCTGGATTTAAGAAACTCCTCTCAGTAGTGTTGCTTTCGTGAACCAAGTAGGGTTGCGTCTTTCATAAAACTGAACGGAGACATCAATCTTACCCTATATTGCGGGACTTCGGTATATTACTTAGGACTCAGTGTTTGAGACATCGGATGTTCTTGCAGTGCTTTGCGGTCGAGGTTGAGGCGCGGAATTTCAATGTGTTTGGGTGAAGCTTTCTTGTTGTGGTTCAGGGTCTAAGGCTGAGTGATGTGAGGCATCTGCTGGAGCGAATTAAAGTCCATGATTATGAGGGTTTGATATTGAATTGTGGACCATTGTGTCAGCTGGGGCAAATAAAGCTTTTCCCAAGTTGAGTGCCTTCCATGCCGCACATTCTGGGAACACATAAAAATGTGCTTCAGGATACTTGGGTAGTTGCCAACATTAGGATCCCATTTGTGTACTCCTAAATAATAGGTGCCGTAAAATGATTAGGGACCAAATGGGGCCCATAATTTTGAAAATTGCCCACTTCAAGAAGGCATGCAGTGCGAGCTCCAACCCCGTTGCGGTGCTGTGCTGTCTTCATGCATGACCCGGAGGCTCCAAATAATGCAATGGAGGTCATATTCGTAGGCGTTGGGGCCCAGTGTAGGTATTGTCTCTAAAGTATATATAGGCTTTAAAAGTTTATTTATAGACTTTAGGGCCCAATGTAGGTGCTAGATATAGACTTTAGGGCCCAATGTATTGCGTTATTCCCCCTTACAGTAACTGTTACCACAAGGGTTAATAGGAATTATAATAGCCCCTTAATAAGGCCCCCTTTAAGGAGTTACTGGGTGGGGGAATGACCCAACCAATGTAGGTATAATTCACAGAGTTGGAGCCGCAAGGTAAGGCAGCCACGTGTCTTTCGGATGTCAGGGAGACCTATCTCCCCGCGTGATGTACACTAAGCCCTCAACAAAAACCCTGAAACCAAAAAACCCTAAAGCCTAACCGTGAGCCCTAAAATCTGAACCCTGCACCCTAAGCCCAAAGCCCTAACCCCACTTTGAACCTGCATAATACAATGGCCACGCAGCTTGCCCGCCCACGAGCTCGGTTAGTATGTTGTTAATAAATAGGAGTGATAGTTTTGGAGGACCCTCCCCCACACTGTAACAGTGGTAAAATAGGACTATAAGAGTACTCTAATATATTCATTATTGTCCCTTATAATCACCATTCCTGGGTGGGGGTCCACCTAAATGATAGTAGTCATGATAATAACCATGATACAGTAGTAGTAACAGTAGTAGTAATAATCGTAGTAATTAGTGATGATAGTAACAATAGGAATAACAGGAGTGATAGGAATAATCGATAAAGAAAGAAAGAGATAAGCATAGCTATATTAAGAACACACAAAACACTGGTAATGACAGCAATCGTAGTAATGATCGTCTGCGGGTAGGTAGCTCATTCTTGCAAGAAACAATACACTTCCCATAACCCTAAACCCTAAACCCTAAACGCTAAACCCTAAACCTATCACACACGAACCCTGGGGCGCTAAGTGTGTAAATGATAGCTGCTTCGTTTCCGCAAGTCTGAACAGGAAGAACTACGTTTGGCTATTTGGGTGCCTATGCGCGTGAACCCTGAACCCGAGGCCTATACAACACCACATGCGCTCTAGTGTGCTCCCCTATATAATCCACTATATAATCCCCTTTCAGGAGTTTAGACTATAGCTCACATAAATGCCACTCCTACAGGCACGCCTGAAACATCACATGCCGCAGTAGGTCGAATCCTGACGCTGCCCCCCTGTACATCCTAATAACCTAAATGCTCAAACCTATAACTTTTAAAGGGATGCCTGGGGTAAATCCTTCACCTCAAACCCCATACATCCTTATAACCCATGGTGCCTGGGGTAAACACTAAACCCTCCTATGTCATATATTTTCGGGAGTCTTAATTGGAATCTTAAAAACACAGTCGTACCAACCAAAGCCACAAACCCTTAAACCCCATTAAAACACCTTAAACACCTTAAAACCCCTAAATTCTAAAACCCTAAAACCCTAAACCCCGAAAGGTGGAAAGAGGTCCCAGGGGCCGATAATCTGTTCGCCCTGGCCATAATATCCGGGCGGGCAGGCCTCCACACAGTCCTGCTTCGGCAGTTTAGGGTTTAGGGTTCAAGGCTTAGGGTTTAGGTCCTTTGGCAGATTTCAATTCCTTTCCAAAGGAATAGATTGGGGATACATGAGAGCATGGAAACTACTATATCATAATGGGGCATATGTTGGGGTTAGTGCAGAATAGGGAATAGAAGATACAGGGATTATGTAGGGCTTCTTTGCGGCGCTTGAGGGAGAGTGGGGAAGTAGATCCTTATAATAGGGTTCAGGACTTAGGGTGTTTTAGGGTTTAGGATTTAGAGTTTAGGGAGTGGATCCCTGTAATCCCTATGTAATCCGCATATGTAACCCAAGAATAATGGCTATTACCTATATTCAGTCACCCGCTCCTCCTCCTCAACCTTACGCACCAGTAAGTCTTCGGCAGCTTTTAAGCTCTTTGCGTGTTACATATATATATATATAGATATACATGGGTGTGTGTGTGCATATTATATATATTTTAGAGAGATACAAATTTGTATAGAACAGAGACTTTGGATGTTAGGTAGATATATACAGACACCAATGCCTATAGTATGGAGAGAGGGGGAAAACGAAAGAACGAGCGAGAAAGAGAGAGAGAGAGAGAGAGAGAGAGAAAGAGAGAGAGAGCCGGTCAAGACCCTTATGATTTGCCCAGCCTATGGAAGTTCTCCAAAACAGGGTTGGAGTTTTTACAGTGAGGCCTGTCTCATTGTTTTAAGGGTGTAGGATTAGTGACGCGGGTGCAGGGCACCTTGCTTTGAAGAAACCCCAAACCCTAGACCCCAAGCCCTCAACCTCAAACCCCAAATCCTAAACTTACACCCTAAGCCCTAGACCCTAAATCCTAAAACCCTAAACCCTTAAAGCTCTAAAGCAGCCTAAACCCCTAAACCCTTAACCCTCAGACCCTAAGCCCTAAACCCAGCTCCCCACCATGCCTGCTAGGCTTGGTAAGCTTGACTTTGGGATGACATGTGCAGAACAGCGATTCAGGGGTTTAGAGGTTTAGGGCTTTCTTAAAAAGAAGGATTTAGGCTTTTGGAGGTATATAGGGGTTTGATAGAATTTCATACGGTTTTATAGAGCTTTTGGGGTTTGGGGGTGGGGATTGTGGTCCCTCAATACTTGAGAATCAATAGAAAAATGGAACATGACATGGAAACTGGGATTATGTAGGGGTTAAGAGGCTCTAGTAGGGATATTGGGATGACATGTGCAGAAAAGCGAGTCTGGCAACATCATGGCCTCTTGCCTAACATTGAAGGTTTAGGGTTCAGGGCTGTGGGCTTAGGATTGAGGAAATAGGGTTTAGGTTTCAGTCTTTAGGGTTCAGGGTTTGGGGGTTCAGGGCTTAGGGTTCAGGAGAAATGAGATTGCAACAGGAAAATGGGATTATGCAGGCGATGTATTTTCCCCTCTGCCTAAGTCCTTTCTGCTGATGTCCCATCTAGGTTGGCAGATTGCAAAATACTAGCGTCATCCATAACACGGGTTTTAAGATGATCTAGGATACAATTGGGTTGACATTTGTGGTTACCCTACACCCTAAATCCTAAATCCTAAACCATTAAAACCCTATACCCCTAAACCCTACACCCCAAAACCCTAACCCTAAACGCTAAACCCTAACTTTCCATCTTCCTGGATTCTGCTAGATTTGTGACGCCATGTGCCCACGGCTTACGGAGGTTATGCCTTGCAACCAATGGACTGTGAACTGTATGTATTTCTATATTTGGATAATGGAAAAGAAAATGGAAACTACTATTTGGGGTTTAGGGTTTAGGGATTGTCCCCCTATAACGGAGAATCGAATGGAAAAGAATATGAACAATTAAATGGAAACTGTGGATTGTCCCCCTATAATGGAGAATCGAATGGAAAAGAATATGACAAATTAAATGGAAACTGGTGTCTACAGGGATATATGAGTCATTGTCTAAACTCCCAGTATCCCCTTTGAAAAACCCCTATAGTAGTCCCCTATATAATGCCATATATACTACCCTTTAAGGAGTTTAGACTGTAAGTCATATAACCCAGTTCCTGCTTTATGTTGCATCAGATGTTCCATTTGATTCTCCATTTTCGGTGTATAACTACCCCATGAAGCTAAACTATGGGTACTGCGATGTATCTCAGATACCGCCCCCCCACCCTAAAACAACAGCCACCTTATGAAATAAGTTCTGTTACAAGTAGAATATTCGGGAACCGCTATGGGTGGGGGCTTTATCCTAGACTTATCTTCAAACTGTGACCCAACCCACAGCAGGCTCCTGCTTTTCCGAGAGGAAGGTGCTATTCTTGCACTGTATGCACCTTGGCATGGGCTCTATGATAGGTTTAGGGGTTTAGGGTTTAGGGAAAAGGTCCCACTTAAAGGCAATTCTCGGGATGTATAGGGACAGTTAGGGTTGTGTCGAGCGCATGGCCCTATTCAGTTCGAAGATCGGAGAACCAGATGGGATTTCCATGGACATTGAGGCTACTTGGGTCATAGAGGGATTGTGACCACTTGTTAATGAAAATGGCGTTTATTCTGGCTCCTGCATGAGACCCGTGTTAGACTGCATACCCTCCAACCACTTCACAGCTCGTAGCATACTAATATAGAACATAATAGTTTCCATTTCACTTTCCATTATATCCCCAATACAACCCCCAATATATAATATACATATATAATATGATAGTTTCCATTCTATTTTCCATTATATCATATCCCTAATAAAACCCCCAATATATAATATACAACCCCAATAATTATCAAAGGTTCTAAGGCAGTGAGGACTCATCCCTAAACCCTAAACCATGAGGCGCTTTGAATGTACCTGCACTCAGTATTTGAACAGGCCGTTCCCCTTGAGAAGGGCCGCTACAGCTTAACCACGGACATGCTATAGGAACCCAAGTCTGGGTTGCCCCCTAAGACCCTTTCAAAAATATTAATATATAGAGTCCCCCATTAAAGCCATTAGGGAAAACATCAAATATCCCAGGGGCCTACCCAGAAGTTTCGAGGCTTAGTCACCTATAGGTGTGTGGCCGAAGTGAGGTCTGTAGATTCGGTAGATAGCTCCTAACACTGGGATCCAAAATACGGGGACCTCCAGAAAGGTAGGTTTGACATACCCAAGTGTGAAGCATGCCGTGTTTTTGCACAACCTGCAATTTTCGTGCTCCGTTCTGGCATGGCGCACACAGAAGTATGTACATCTAAGGCCCAGCTCCTCGGAGTATATACTAATCTCTACTTACTAGACAGTGGGGCGTCCTTAAGGGGCGAGGGAGGGCGGTTCCCTGTGGAGTGTAGGAATCTCATAAGCACATGGTCTTCCTTGCAGGACATCTTGTACCGTAACCCTAAATCCTAAGCCGTAGAAATAGAATTTCAAGATCTGCGGTGCAAGATTTACAGTCCCCCTGAAGTAGACATTGTAGCATATGGGGGAAACCTTATAATGGAATAACCAAAGCCCCATATTCTATCTATTTAAGGGGGACTACATCCCCTCCACATCTGAAGTCTTAATAACCCGAAGGGTCCAAGGACCCAAACAATAGGGTTTATGTCCATGATATTAATGGTATTTGGCCCCCAAAACCCTATTATTTGGGTCCTTGGACCCTTAGGGTAAAAACATAGAAAGGCATGTGCATGGGGGTTTCCTGAAATGGGTGGTTTAGACGTAACTATACTAATATGCTCTTATTGTGCAGAGAAGGGACCCCTAGTTTATGGAGAGCAACACATGGGTAGTTCCCAAAAGTAAAGTCCCATTTGGGTACACCCTAAATATCACATACTAGGGGCCGCAAAATAACCTATAACTAAAGGGGCCCACAATTTGGGGAACTACCCTTATGAAGAGCAACACATGAATCAGTACCACGGAATGGCGTGGGGATGTGCATGAGATGTCAGTTTTCCAGTGCGCAGCCCAGGAAAAGAAGACTGGGTTCAGGGTGCTTACCTAGTAGCTGATGCTTGGGCATTGCTAAAGGTCCAAAAGAGGATGCATATAAGGGTTGTATAGGGCTTTTATAAGGAATGCTGGCAAGAATGGGCCATCAGGCGGAAAATAATATGGAACACGAAATGGAACTGGGATCACATGTCTTACAAGGTTCGGGCATGCTAGGTATACTGAAATACTACTGCTATATTATTCATATTCATGAGAGGCAATACGTAGAACTTTACGTGGATATAACTTCAGTTTCCCTACCTAGGTGCTTGAAGGCTCTAGGCTACAGGCAATAGTAGCTTTCGGAGTTTTTGCAAGGCCTCAACATCACACTGTTGAAGCGAGAGGTCCAAAGTGTTCTGGCGCTTGCAAACCTAAACACAACAGCGTGACTGCGCAAAAGGCAAAAAAAAGGAGTCATTCGAATTGGAGACTGATAGGGCTTCTCGGGGACTGCAAATGCTTCATCGAATGTTGCTCGGGGCTCTTTGCCAACATGCGGCCGCAGCTTAGCTTTTTATATTCTTTCCCAACACATATGAACCATAAACCGTAAACTACGTTTGGGCTTCCGTCTCCCTCAGCCCTGAATTGCCAACAAGCTGCTCGGTAGCGGAAAGGCATTGATGGCAGTTTCCTTGGTTTCGACCGTAGAGCCGAAACTCAAAGCCTAAATACGATTCATACTATTTTCCCAATATTTCTATTAGAACTATTATACTAGTATTACTAGTATTGCTACCATTATTCTTACTCTTAAAAAAGCCTACATCATAATTTAGCCCTACCTGAATCCCCAACCAAAAAGCAGGAAACTAGTGGCCTTGGGCTATTTTGAAAGGTTTTTGGGCTTGTATCTTCATTCTACCTAGGATTTAGGGATTCAGTTTTTTCAGGGTGTAGGGTGTAAGGTTACTTTGGGTGTCTTTTGGGCCAGGTAAACAAGGAGGGGCTTCCAAGCTCGGGACTGACTTGAGGGCTTGAAAGCGGAGGGTTCAGGGTTTAGGGTATAGAGGTTATCCCCCTTAATAATGGAGAATCAAATGGAAAAGAACATTGAAAAATGAAATGAAAACTGCTATATATAGGGTTATGTAGTGGATTATAAGGGTTATAGAGTCTAAACTCCTAGTTTTGTAGCTTCCAAACGCCAAACGACCAGTAGCTAGAACATCTCTCTTTGCCTGCGCGTTTTGGCGCCCATGCCTGGAATCTTTCAATGTGAGATTGTAGCACGAAGACCCAAACAAAATGGAAGCCTCAGGGTTTAGTTTTGAGGATTAGGGTTTAGGCTCTTCAGCCGCAAATATTTGAATCAGACTCGCTCTATGACAGAATACTGTTAGTAATGGTACAAGCTCGTGAACACCTAGATCGTGGCCTTCGGGACTTTCACTGAAAACCTACATCCTGTGTATGGGGCCACTCCAGATAGGTCTGAAGAAATGGGCTCTTAAAGGTTTAGGGTTTAGGGCTTGGGGATAAGGAATAATAGCAGTAATAATAGTTCTAGTAGTAATCAAAGTTATAACAAGATATGCCTGACTTGGCGCAGGTTTTTAGGGAGACAAGGTGAATATTCCGACACCAGGGACTTGAAGCCCATAAACTGACAACCCCTGCTTTTAGAGCCGCATATGAGCCTTCATCTAAACCATTGTCTAAACCCCTTACAACAAAGTACGGGTACGACAAAGGCTCCAAATTTTGACTAATAGCATTCAACCCTCGAGTAAAAAACCTTACGTCCGAAAACTGATTCCTCATTGGGATCGTATGGAAGATTGTGATGATCTATTCCTGATTGGGCTGTTATTGGGCTGTAGTATCATACAACCCAAACATGTACCCAACAATTATCCAGGAAACCCTAAGTCCTTATGCTATGATCCGCTGCAGGAGTCAAGTGCCAATTGCAGTTTCCATAGTGTTTCTCGATTTGATCTATTTTTCATAGCAAAGAACTGTGTTCAGGACTCTAAAAATCCTAAACCCACAGCAAAAGAAGAACAGAGGGCGAGCGACGCTCGCAGGGCTGGCAGGTGCGCCCCACGTCCCAAATGCCCTCGTGGAAGAAGCCCGCTGGGCAGTCTCCTGCATCCGGGTTTGCAATTTGGAGCTTGGGGTTCAGGGATGTCTAGAGCTTTCTTTTTTTTTCCGTTCAGGGTTTAGGTTCTGGTTTTGGAGCTTGTAATTAGCAGTTTTGGCGTTGAGGATTTAGGGTTTGGATGTGCTGTCTGCGCACCCTTTAGCCTAAACCCTTCGGATTAAGATGCCAGTTCTGGGGCAGAAAGGGCAAGGGACTTTTGAAGACTGGGACAGTTGGGACAAGCGGGCTTCATCCAAGCCACAACCCCGGTCTCTGTCTGGAGGATCACCGTGTGTAGCCATAAGTCAGGCGGATCATACATCTTGATGCCTACACCCTAAACCCTAAACCCAATTGGGGCTTCACACTGCTTTAGAAGACTTTGGCCCCTTTTCATACATTTTCTGGTATAGGGGGCCCCCATATAGCCACTAAATAATGCTAGTCCTTATTATGGGAACCCACACACCAAAAAAA